AGTGCAGAATAATCCTCCTTGGAGGTGAATCCCATCCTCTATCCTTTGTAGGCCTTTCTTTTTAGCCTCAGGAGGTCTGCTAGATCCCTGGAGAGTGAGGGGGGCTGCTGTGCCCTCTTGCTGCCTTTCCTCCGAGATGGAATAGACTTAGCTTGTGCATTGAGGATCACTCCCTTGAGGAGCAACCACTCTTCTTGAACTCCCCTCTCCCTGGGCTCATGGTCCCTTAGGGCCTCACTGACAAATCTCCTGAGCTTGTCAAAGTCGGCTTTTCTGAAGTCGAGGACTTCCATGTTGCTGACTGACTTGCCAGCTTTACAGCGGATGGTGAAGGTGATCAGCTTGTGGTGCTGTCACCCAGCTTCCTATTGATCACTAGGTTGCCGATTAGGTCATTATGTAGCCAGTAACAGGTCGAGCAGAGCTTTACCTCTCATTGGCCCGTAGACTTCTCAAGTCAGGTAGAGGTCATCCATGCACGAGAGGAAGCTTTGCGACTGCGTAGATTTTGCTGAGTGATCCTTCCACGAGATGTCCAGGTAATTGAAGTCACCCGTGACAACCATGGTCCTGGAGCATGGGGCTTCAGGCAGTTCCCAGGTGAACTCCTGGTGAAGCTCTTGACTTTGGGTGGGAGGTCTGTAGTAGACTCTCACCACTGTGTCCCCTGTGCTGTGTTCCCCACGGATTTTAACCCAGAGTCTCCAGTTGTACACCCTGGTCACCAACATCATCTTGCAGGGATGCATAGCTTTCCTTAACAGAGAGAGCTAGACCCCCACCCCTTTTATCTACTCAATCCCTCCTTTACAGGGTATAGCCATCTACACCCATGGTCCAGTCATGAGTGGTGTCCCACCAGGTCTCCATTATCCCTATGACATCATAATTATTTGTATTAAGCAGGAGGATGAGTTCCTCCTGCTTATTCCCCAAGCTCCTGGCATTTGTGTACAAGCAGGTAAGTGTCCCCTTTGGGGCTCTTGCCTTGCTCACAGATTGTACCAGGGATGGGGCAGGAGTGGACTTCCTGAAGTAGCTTGGCCTGCTAGCTTTGCTAGGGTTGCTTTGTGGGTCAGCAGTGGCAATAGTCCCCCCCCATCCCCCGGCAGGCTTAGTTTAAAGCCCGGTGAAGCAGGTCAGCCAGTCTGGCTGAGAAGAGCCTCCTCCCCAGGGGAGAGAGGTGGAGGCCATCTCTTCCCAGCAGCTCGCTGCCTCTCTCGCCAAAGAGTGGGCTGTGGTCATGGAAGCCAAAGCCTTCCTGATGAGACTAGCGCTGCAGTCTTTGGTTAACTACCTGGATCCTCCTCTCCTTCCTCATCCCATAGCCCAAGACTGGGAGAATCGAAGAAAACGCCACCTGTGCCCCCAGACCCTTTAGCCCTGCTCCCAAATTCGTGTAGCGGCTCATGACCCAGCTGGGAGCGCTCTGAGCCATGTCATTGGTGCCCACGTGAATAAGGAGCATGGGATAGTGGTCAGTGGGCTGGAGGAGCTTAGGGATCTTCTCTGCAGTGTCTCGGATGCAAGCCTCTGGGAAGCAGCAGTCTTCCCGGGCTAAGTGGTCGGGGCGGCAGATTACTCCCTCAGTCCCCCTCAGGGTGGAGTCTCCCACAACAAACACTTTACGTTTTGTCTTGGAGAACGGGGGCGGTAGCTGCAGTTGAGTCTGTGTTGCCTGCAGGAGCTGCAAGAGGTTCATACCTGTTGCCGAGCTGTGGCGGGGCAGGGGCCTTGGTGCGGCAGGCCTTAGGGCCCTTGACCACCGTGGTCCATGCCCCTGACTGGACAGAGTGGGAGGTCCCGGAGTCCTCCCTTGTCCTGGAGGGAGACCGTGGTCTACCCTCTGGCTCTCAGGGGAGAAGGGCCCGGCAGTAGGAGTCTAGCTCCTGCTTACAGTCCCTGATGGCACGCAGTCTCTGGACTGTGGCCTGGAGCTCCTCCAGCTGGTGCACCAGAGACCCCAAAAGGGAGCAGACCCCACAAGGGGAGGTAGCCATGCTTCCTGGCCCCAGAGCCTGAAAAAGGGACAGGCAGCCCCCGCAGCTGAGAGCCTTGGGCTCCGTCTGGGTGGCCGTGTCTGAGGCGCCAGAGCAGGGGGCCGCAGAGCCCAAGGGGACCCTTGGGGTGCAGTGAGTGCCCATCCGTGGCATGTCACTGGTAGGCGGGCTGGGCCTGAGTCTGTCTACCCTAGGGGGCTTGCAGGCAGGGCCTTGGGCCCTCCCACACACCCTCTGCACTAACTCATGCACCAGCAGACAAGCATGCCTGTTTGCGCAGCTTGTTCGAGTGGCTCCCTGGGGGGGCTGGGCGAAGTAGGGACCTGGGCGGGGCGAGACCCAGCTCGGCTCCACTCAGCTGCCTCCTCCCACTACGGACCCCGCTTACCTCCGGCTGTGCTGGGGGTCGGTGGGGGGCTCCGTGGCTG